CTGGACAGGACTTGTCCAAAGTCACAGAGTAACTGGCCTTGGACCCTGGTCTCCTGATTTCAGAACCAGGGGCCCTTCTGCTTCTCCAGCATGGGGTCATCAGTAAGCTGCCCCCCAAGCTGGAGGACAACCAGCTTTTTCTCAACACCCCCTGTAGCAGATCACCACAGACGGAGTGGATTAAACCAACACAAGCTTACTACCTCACACTTCTGGAGAACAGAGGTCTCGAAGGGGGCTCACAGGGCTAAAATAAAGGTGTGGGCAGGCTGTGTTCTTTTCTGGAGGGTCTCAGAGAGAGTCCATTCTTTGCCTGTCTCCGCGTCTTGAGGCTGCTGGCTTTCCTTGGCTCGAGGCCCCTTCCATCTTCAAAGCCGGCATTGGCCAGTCGGGCCTTTCTCGGAGCACTGCATCACTCTGGCACACTCTCCTGCCTCTCTCCTCCATCTTTTAGGGACCCTTGTTGTGATATAGGCCTCCAGAGAATCCAGGAAAATCTCCCCACCTCCAAAGAAGCTGAGTAGCAACCTTACTTTCGTCTGTAACCTTGATTCCTCCCTGTCACATAATCTAACATATTCACAGGTTCCAAGGATTAGGGTCAGGACATGGACATCTTTTGGCCGGGGTTGGGGTGGGGGGGGGAGGCATTACTCTGCTGACCATACCCCCTAGTAGTGTCTACCTGCACCCACCACTTGGGCCTGGGGTGGAGGGCAGCTTCAGCGGGGAAGTGGGCACTGGGCACGGGGGACACTGGCCTCTGGGTTTCACCACATCTCTGCTAGCCTGGCCCTCCTGCCTTCTCCAGCTCAGCCAGGTCAAAGCCACCAGCTAATGCCACCTCATCCCCTCCAACACACACAGTCACCAGGTCAGCTGTGGTGGTCAGGCACCATCTATCCGTCCATCCATGTGCGAGGCCCCCATCCCTGCTCTCTCTCTGAGATTTGCCCCCACCCTCTCCTGTCCATCATCCCACCACCTGGAAAGGCTGCCTCTAGCTCAGGCCTCATCATGGCGCCACCTATCGCCAGCTGGGTGAATGGCACCACTGGAATCCTAGCATCCTTGCCTTTCCCCCTCACCCACCACACTCCAGTCCTGCGGCAAGTCCTATCAGCTCTTCCTTCGAAGTCCATCCTGAATCCACCCAATTCTCCAGACCCCTCCACTGGTCTAAATCTCGATGGTCTCTTTCCAGAATGACTACAGGGGCTTCCAGCCTGGTCTCCCCAGCCTACTCTGACTCTTCTCCCAAGGATGCTTCACCCACGTAGAATAAACCCAGCCCCATCTGGCTCGTGCCAACCTCCCCACGCTCATCTTCTCCCACCCTCCCCTCACCCACTCATCCTGGCCACTTGGCCTTCCCTTTGGTCTTTGACCATCCAAGCCCATCCCCAGACTGGGGAGCAAGCTCTTCCCACTCCCTCCACCTGAGACACACTCCCCAAGGTCCTCCCAGGGCTGGCTCTACCCCAGGGTCCCCTCCTCTGAGAAGCCCTCCTGGGCCTCTCCAGCTAACACTGACCCCCAGTCATTTCCCATCTGTCACCTTGTTCTGTTGCTTTCACAACACTGCCTACAGCGTGAAATGATCTGTGTACTTATTTGGAGACTGTCTCCCCCAGGAGAAGGTCACACCTGTGAGGACAGGGGCTGGGTCTGTCTCGTCCTCTACTGTGCCTCCAGACCTAGCCCAGTCCGACACGTGGTAAGTGTTGAATGAATGAATGACAGCTCCCTCAGGACTCCTCTTCCTCATCCCCACCATCACAGCCCCTTTCTCCAATGGCTTCCTTGTCCCCAGCAGACATACAGACCCTCAGAGGCAAAATCACTTAATTCCACCACGCTGTAGAACTGACGGACCTAACACTACAGAGAAAATTAAAAAGATCAGCCTTTTTGTGAGGGTGTCAGGCTAGGTGAAAAGTAGCATTATTTTCCAGAAGCAGGACTCCGGAGCCTGCCTGATCTGTGAACCTCACCTGAGCATGCAGAGCCTTCGCCCCACACCCGTCAAACTGGGCAACCCCTAGACCAGCTCAGGAGAAGTATGCCCACCCTTCGTTTAGTAAACTCCAGCCTCTGGGCCTCCCTCCCCAGGGACCTCTGGCCCCCCGTGTACAAGCAGCCTGAACAAAGCATGCTTTTCCTCTCCTCTCCTTACCAGTCTCCTGAGACAGAACTTTCCAAGCAGGAGGCCGAGGCTTTAACTCACATAGGTCACAAGAGAAATAAATGAGGAGTCATTAATCCCTCCAGCGGAAAGCAAGGAGGGTTGAAAGGAGAAAATTCTGCAAGGAAAGAGGTGATTACAGGCGGAGGGGGTTCACCAGAGTGCCCCGGGGCTTGCAGGATGAGAGGAGTGTGTCTGCCTCCATCATCATTCTTGCCAAACAGAATGTCGAATTTTTTTTTTGGTTTGGTTTTTTTTTTTTATCTCTTGTCTTTGGTGGCAAAGATAAAGCAGCAAAGCTCAAAAGCAGTAGCATTAACATGAAGTGCCTAAAAGCGATCCTTCTCCGAGGGATTCTGGCAGGCTTTGCCTGAGGAGATGAGTTCCAATTTTAGGTGAAGTTAAAAAACCCTCTTAAAGCTTTAAAATCAAATCATCTTTCTTCAAACACAGGTGTACCCTAGTTTTCCAAAACCTGATCTGTGAAACTGTAGCTTTCCCCAAAGCTGAACAAGTGGAGGGATGATTTGCTTTTGTAAAAGAATTTCTGTTAGGAAGGAGCCCCTTTGGAATTTGGAAATCTCTGTGGCTCCTGTTAAACACTGTTTCTCATCCACGCAAGGGTGTGTGTGTGTGTGTGTATGTGTGCGTGCGTGTGTTTCCCCCCGGACATGTCCATAGCACAGATGGACACTCAGGGTTTCCATTTGGAATTGATAGACTTTGCCGGTACCACTTGCATCCATGGGGGATGGATGGTGAATTTTTTTAAAGCAAAGTATTAGGGTCCTTTTCTGTGGATCATCTTAATTCTGGAGAGTTCTGTTGCTGTAGTCTGGGGGTCTCAAACTCAAATGCCTCCAGGAGCCAGAAAGGAAACATACACGAGAACATACATAGAGGGGGATGTTGGAAAGACACCAAGGCAGGGTGGGAACTGTGGCAGGTTGCAGCAGGCATGCCCAGCCTAAAAGGGGAACTCAGTTCTCAGCTGGAATTTAAGCCAAATTACCAGATCATCTGATTTCTCAAGAGAAACCAAGATACATGAATTTTTACATGAAATTTCTCCATTTTCAGAATCTTCTCCAAGCTGGGCAAAATATTTGTGAACCAAATGCAGCCCACAAACTATGAATGAATAAGCCGTCTCATCCTAGTAGCACAAACCCTTAGCTTTGAGGATTGGGAAGGAAGAAGTCTGTGTAAGCTGATATTTTGACCTCGGTTTCTCAGAAGTGCCCTCACCGTGTTGGCCTCCCCGACAGGAAATGGACTCATTTGTCGAGCACTTGGCGCTTTTCTGCTGCTGGGCACAGGGACTGAGAGATGAGAAAAGCACTTTCCTCCCCCAGGGAGCCAGCAGTCTCCTGAAGGAGCCTGGCTGGCACACAGACAATTCTGAAACAGGGTGGCAAGTAGAGTGAAGATAAATAGGGGTGGGGATAACTCTTGATTTAGCTGGAAGAGCCAAGGAAGGCTTCCTGGAGGAGTGAGCGTGCCTGCCCAGTTCACTCCTGTAGCCTTAGGATGATGTTTGCTGAGATATGAGCAAACACAGCACTGTTGTGATCACTGTGCCGTTTTTTGGACACTGTCTCTTATTTATGGCAAGTGATACCAGTTTTCCACATATGGAAGGAATGCAAGGTGTCCCTTTGTGTTAAATACTATTAGTAACAGTAGACAGCAAATATTGAGTATCTCCCATGGCCCAGCCAGTGTATTAAGTGGTCTTATGTACATAATTCAGTGAGTCCTCTCAGTAATCCTGTGAAGTAGGTCATGTGGTTATACCCGTATTACAGATGAGGACATTGAAACACATTAAGGTTGAGTAACTTAACCAAGCCACATGGATCCGAAGTCTGCATGTGTAACCACAACACCAGAGCTTCTCCGCCTTGGCACTTTGGACACCGGGGGCCTGAGTCTGTCATGTGCATCATAGCATTTTTAGCAGCAGCTTCAGCCCCTGTCTGCTCAATGCCAGTAGCATCTACCAGTCATGACAACCAAAAATGCCCCTAGACATTGCCACACGTCCCCCAGGAGACAATCAGCCCTGGCTAAGAACTACTGGTCTACACTAAACTGCTTTCAAAACTAAATAAATACCAAAAACGTTAGGCAAACAAAGTGCTAAGTAGATAACAGTACAGATATTGCATGACGGTCCACTAGGTTGTCAGCTCTGTGGGGTCAGAGACCACGTCTGCTTCTGTACATGTCTGTGAACCCCCAGTGCTCAATGCCTGGCCCCCAGTAGCACCCAGTATATTTCTGTGGCGTGAGGGGTGTGGTGTAAGTGATGTGGAGGAACCGTGACGTTTAGGAGATGCTGAATGACAGTGTTGCTGTCTTCACTCTTCAGTGAATGTCTTAGCTCGAGCTGCTGTAACAAAACTCCTGGGCTGGGTCACTTCTGCAGCAGGCATTTACTGCTCACAGCCCTGGAGGCTGGGAGTCCCGGATAAGGGCGCCATGTGGTCAGTTCCGATGAGGGCTCTCTTCCTGGCTTGCGGACGGCCACATTCTCACTGTGCCCTCATGTGGTGGAGAGAGAGCGAGCTCCATGTCTCTTCTGCTCCTTATAAGGGCACTAATGCCACCATGCGGCGCCACCTTCATGACTTCGTGGAAACCTAATCTCCAATGGCCCCACCTCTTAATAGCATCCCATTGGAGGTCAGGGCTTCCCCCTGTGAATTGGGGGGAATGCAATTGAGCCTGTCGCAGCAAATGCCTGCAGAGGCAGCACTGTCCGCTGAGAGTCGGGAATCACTGAGGGTCTTTCCCCTCTTCTCCCCGCCAGGCCTGAGAGGGATGTGAAGGCCCAAAATGACCCTCTTACCGGGAGACAACTCTGACTACGACTACAGCGCGCTGAGCTGCGCCTCCGACGCCTCCTTCCACCCGGCCTTCTTCCCGCAGAGCCAGTCGCTCAAGGGCGTCTTCTACCGCCGGGCCCAGCGGCTGCGGCCGCAGGACGAGCCCCGCCAGGGCGGCCAGCCCGAGGACCGCAGGCGGCAGATCATCATCAACGTGGGTGGCATCAAGTACTCGCTGCCCTGGACCACGCTGGAGGAGTTCCCGCTGACACGGCTGGGCCAGCTCAAGGCCTGCACCAACTTCGACGACATCCTCAACGTGTGCGATGACTACGACGTCACCTGCAACGAGTTCTTCTTCGACCGCAACCCGGGGGCGTTTGGCACCATCCTGACCTTCCTGCGCGCGGGCAAGCTGCGGCTGCTGCGGGAGATGTGCGCCCTGTCCTTCCAGGAGGAGCTGCTCTACTGGGGCATCGCCGAGGACCACCTGGACGGCTGCTGCAAGCGCCGCTACCTGCAGAAGATCGAGGAGTTCGCGGAGATGGTGGAGCGGGAGGACGAGGAGGACGCGCTGGACAGCGAGGACCCCGACAGCGAGGGCCCGGCGGAGGGCGAGGGCCGCCTGGGCCGCTGCATGCGGAGACTGCGCGACATGGTGGAGAGGCCGCACTCGGGGCTGCCCGGGAAAGTGTTCGCCTGCCTGTCGGTGCTCTTTGTCACCGTCACCGCCGTCAACCTCTCCATCAGCACCTTGCCCAGCCTGAGGGAGGAGGAGGAGCAGGTAAGAGCCCGCAGCTGTGTGCGGGGAGGCTGGCTGCAGCCAGGGAAGGTCTCCGAGGACAGAAACTAAACAGTCTGCAGGATCACTCTCATCCCAGAAGTCCACATCCTTCTCACCTGCACTGCCACCTCCTCCAGGAGGCCTTCCCTGACTGCACCGGCTGAGTAGCATCCTGGTCCCTCCTGACATTGTGTTTACGTGGGTGTTGTCCATCTCCACATTCAAACTTGAACGGCCTGCTCATTCAGGTCTATGCTGTGCCCCGTCCCCCCTCACCCCAGCATTGTCCAGCATGGAGGAGGCAATGGGCCACTCTCTGCTGAATGAATGAGTGAACAGACAATGTGATTTATGATATGACTGGCCCCAAGCACATGACATAAACCAGATACCATCAAAATTAATTTCACTCTCTTCCATCCTTTCTCAGCTCAACTTTCCTGATTCCTTTGTATAAAAATATCCCAGAAACATTTTCTGGGTCCTGAATATAATTTTTAATGGTAAGTATGTGTGTGCACTCAAATAGCAATTTTTTCTGTTAAATAAGAGAATACTGGTAAAGCAGTTCCTCCAGGGCCTGCCAGAGTGTGTGCTCAATTAGCACACAGTTAATAGGAGCCAGGAGCTGGGCGGCTGCTCAGCCTGCATCTTACCTCCTCAGTGAGTCTTCCCACACCCTGGTATGGGAGGTGTTCACACACCCACTTGACAGATGAGAACGCTGAGGCAAAGCAGCTGGCCCAGACCCAGGTCTGACCGAGTCCAAACTCTAGCTTCTTAAACATGGAAGTATGGGTCCCATGTGGTAGCCAGGGACCTCGCATAGCCCCGCAGAAGGGTGTGATTTGTCCACGCTGTGCTCCCACAAATTTTGATTTGGTTGCCAACGTTTAAAAGTAATGTTTTTTTCATTTAAAAATTCAAACCCTCAGCTTCTCTTAACATTTATACAGTCAGGCCCCCAGTCCAGCACGGCAGCTCTTGGTGGGAGCTGAGTCCACGAGATGTGTGTTCCCCGGTTCAGCCTCCTTGTGTATGAGACCCTCTAGCCTTTGAGTTGGGACCCTTTCCCCCCAACGTGGGGGAATCTGGAAGTCTCAAGACAGGCAGAAAGGTTCAGACAGGTACCAACAGGAGAAATAGGTATGGCAATATGAACTCAACATAAATGTCATGCCAGCCAGCATTTATTGAGCACTGGCTGTGTACCCTGCATGTGCTAAGCACTTTACATGAACTCTCGGATCTAACATTGGAACAGCTCACCACGTGAGGGTTTTTCTGCACACATATATTATGGAAAAGTAGCAATAGTGTTGCATTTATAACTCACAGGGAGTCTCTGGTGCTTTTTAAAAAATACATTGAATTTTTAAAACCAGCATTGAGAAAACAGCTCTCAACCAGTAAAATGAACTTTTGAGAAGCATATAGGGTAGTGATGATGGGGGCAGGGCTAGAGCCAGATGGCCTGAATTTGAATCGTACTTCATCTGGCTGTGTATCTGTAGGCAAGTTACTTAACCGCTCTGTGCCTCAGTTTCCCAGTGCGTCCAAGGGGCTGTGAACAGGCTCACTGCACAGTGGTGTGAGGATTCGATGAGTGAGTCTATGGGAAGTGAGTGGATAATGCCTGGCAATACGCAAGCAGGAAGCGCTAACTGTAAGGATGCTATGTGCCTGCCAAACGAAGAGAGGGAAGAAGCTTGTCATTTGACACCTGTCTGGAAGTACCTGTATTTAGTGTAGATATCCTGTTAGCGCCAACATATGCCATCCTAATTTTATCAGGAAAATAATGATACGGCCAGTTTTATTCAACTTCTGATATTTGCTTTAAAAAATACCCAGCCTTGTTCAGGATTCAGTGAAAATGCCATTCTTTGACTTCATTTGAGAGACCACTGGAATTCACTTTCAGTTGAGCACATAGTTGAGTACCTTCTGTATTTAAGCACCAGAGGGCAGACAGGGTGACCAGAATGAGTCTTCCAGCTTCAAGGAGCCTCAAGTCTATTTGGGGGATGGAGAAGAGGACAGTGACACTCCAGTGACTATAAGTATGAGACACAAGCCGAGGGGCTCTTGTGAGAGGCCAACAAACTGTGCTGAGGATACCCGTAGGGGACGCATTCCAGGAAGGCTTCCCAGAGGAGGGGGCTTCCTGTCCAAGAAGTCTGAGGCCTCAAACCTCACCCATTATTAGTTCATCTTTCCAGACTCTAACATATTCCTAGAGAAAAGCTCTTATAGCAGGTCTGGTAGAAGCCAGCTGTGCCCAGGAACCGGCAAGATGCCCAAGGCCAGAACCGTTTCTGCCTTCCCTCTCTGCCAAAGGTCCTCTTGAGGTTGAGGTCCAAACCCACTGGGGACAGTCCACCGTCCAGATATATTGCAGACTAGAGCGACAAGCTGGCAGCCTGTGTGGCAAATGGGGCACACAAATGTGTTTGAGTGGCCCCTAGAGTGGTTTCTTTGTATTGAATTATCAAAACATGTAAAACTCAGGAGATTTCATATAAAACTGCAGCCTCTCTGAAAACTTCCAACCACAAGATTGGATTCACCTGGGGCAGCCATCAGGGGGCGCTGAGCAGGAGGACACCGCCTCCACCCGACCTGGCCCACCTCTCCCATTTTTCCCTTTGCCTGCCTGGCCTTGACTCAGCATCCCGTCTAAGCACGAGTCTAGGGCTCTTCCATCCATCCTGGTAACAAATATGAATTGATCACCTGCCACGTGCCGGGCCTTTCCAGGCACTGGGTTCCCTAGAGCAAACAGTACACAGACTGTCCTGCCCTGTAGGGCTACAGTTTTCTGGGGCAGGGGGGCAGGAAGTGGGATGGGGCTGAGATAGACAATAAACATGAAAAATAAGTAACTTATAAAGCGTATTAAAAGATGATGAGCATTATGAACAAGCAGAGCAGGATACAGGGAATCAGGTTACTGAACAAAGGAAGAGGGGAGTTTTTAAACAGCAGGTCACACAGGGCCACCCTGGGAAGGCGACAGGGAAGCAAAGAGCTGGAGGAAGGGAGGGCAGAGTGACGGGATGTCTAGGGGAAGGGGAATCCTACAGGGAAGCAGAAAGTCAAGGCCGAGCTGGAGGGTGAGCCCAGGGTATTGGAGGGACAGTGAGGAGGCCCCGGGGGCTGGAGCAGGTGAGCTAGGCAGGCAGGGGGCGAGAAAGTGGGAGAGGTGGTGCCCTGGCCAGATGAGCCCCAGGTGGGGCTTGAGCTACCTCCCTGAGCCATGGAGGATGCTCAGCAAGGAGGGGCAGGATCTGATTCTTGTTCTGAGTCCCTCTGGCTGTGTGTGCAAAAGAGACCAAAGGGACCAGGGCACCCAGGGAGGAGGTGCCAGTTGCAGAGAGGATGGTGGCTGGATCAAGGTTGGGCCAGTGGACGTAGTGAGAAATAGTTTGATTCTGGAATCATTTTAAATGAAGAGTGAATGGGATTTTGTGAGGATTATATGAGAGGTGTCAGGATGAGGCCAGGTCTGTCCTGAGCAACCAGAAAAATGGGATTGCTGATCGCTAAAAAAGGAACCCACAGGTGAGTGGGTGTGCAGGCAACCAGGAGCCCAAAGAGACTAGATGGTAAATGTTCTCCAACACACACACACAAAATGATAATCATGTGATGTGATAGAGGCATCACTAACGCTATGTGATAATCATGTTGGAATATATAAATGTATCAAATCAACTAGTTGTATGCCTTAAATTTGTACACTGTGTTATATGTCAATCACATCTCAATAAAAATTAATGTTAAACAGAAAGAAATCAGGAGCCATTTTGGGGACACGATGAGTCTGAGATACCTATCAGACACCCCCGGAGGCAGCCTGTCTGGGGTGTGGGGTTCAGGGTCGAGGTCTGGGCTGGAGAGAGGTTAGAAGTGGTCAGTGTCAAGATGGTGCTTCAAGCCCTGGGCTGGACAGGATCACCCAGGGAGCAAGCATAACTAGAGAGAGAGGACCCATGGCTGCTGGGCAGGGACAGGCCGAGACAGGCATCGTGCCCAGACCACCTTTCACCGAGGTAGCCCAGCACCCCACTCAGGACAGAGCTCCGTGCTGACCTCTCCCGTGACCTCTCCCCTCTGTCCCAGGGCCAGTGCTCCCAGATGTGCCACAACATCTTCATCGTGGAGTCCGTGTGCGTAGGCTGGTTCTCCCTCGAGTTCCTCCTGCGGCTCATCCAGGCGCCCAGCAAGTTCGCCTTCCTGCGGAGCCCGCTGACGCTGATCGACATGGTGGCCATCCTGCCCTACTACATCACGCTGCTGGTGGACGGCGCCGCCGCGGGCCGCCGCAAGCCCGGCACGGGCAACAGCTACCTGGACAAGGTGGGGCTGGTGCTGCGGGTCCTGCGGGCGCTGCGCATCCTGTATGTCATGCGCCTGGCCCGCCACTCCCTGGGGCTGCAGACTCTGGGGCTCACAGCCCGCCGCTGCACCCGCGAGTTTGGGCTCCTGCTGCTCTTCCTCTGCGTGGCCATCGCCCTCTTTGCCCCGCTCCTCTACGTCATCGAGAACGAGATGGCCGATAGCCCCGAGTTCACCAGCATCCCTGCCTGCTACTGGTGGGCCGTCATCACCATGACAACTGTGGGCTATGGAGACATGGTACCCCGGAGCACGCCCGGCCAGGTGGTGGCGCTCAGCAGCATCCTCAGCGGCATCCTCCTCATGGCCTTCCCCGTGACCTCCATCTTCCACACCTTCTCCCGCTCCTACCTGGAGCTCAAGCAGGAGCAAGAGAGGGTGATGTTCCGGAGGACCCAGTTCCTCATCAAAACCAAGTCGCAGCTGAGCAGCATGTCCCACGACAGTGACATCTTGTTTGGAAGTGCCTCCTCGGACACCAGAGACAACAACTGAGCCCAGACGACACCCCCCACCACCACCACCAGGACGCCCCCCAGCCCTGCCCGTCCTCCGTGGCCTGAAGCCATCGCCATCACTACCGAAGCCTTCAAAGGCACGTGCTGCTTCGGAGCACAGCCCTGGCATAGGAGGGACTGAGCCACACCCCAGGGAGGATGCTCCACCATCCACAGGGGGTCCCTGGTCCTCCGTGCCCAGAAGTGAAGCCCAGCACACGGCCCTGATGGCCCCTCTGCCCGCCCCAGCCCCCATACCTGTTTCCCTTATAAGGAGATGGCTTGTTCTTCCCGCCGTGTAAATAACTTGCCCAGCAGAGACTTGCTCCATGGGGCTGCCTGGAGAGAAAACACAACGTCAGCAGCTGCATGTCTGTCTTGAGTGTGGACCACGTGCAATTAAAGAAAGCTGGTGAAACAGAAAGAAAAAGCCTTCCATGGGGCTCTCTTAGGAGAGGAAACTGCACTTCCCTGCAAGGCCAGCCAGTGTGGGTACCAGAAGTAAAAGGGCCTGTTTCCTTGGGTCCTTCACGCCTGATGGGGATGGAGGAGAAGAGAGAGGGCAGAGACCTTTGGGGAAATTACTGCTAAATACTGCAGTCCCTCGTTCTTCTTTCTCTGATTCCTCTCGCCTCTGGGCCTCTCTTTAGCCCCGTCCCGTCTCTCCCATCCGCTGTCCTCCTTTGCACCTTAAGGCCTGTATCTCAAACTTTTCCCCCAAGGCACCCCTAACAGCCAAGTGGACACCAAGTCAGCATTGCTGACTCAAAGGTGAAATCAGTTAACTTTATCTTTAAAAAAAAAAAAAGAGTAGTGTGGATTTTTTTATTCTACTCCACATTCATTTTAATATTTGGGGAAAAAAATGCTTGAAACCATTTACCATTTACATTCACCTAAATGTAAACCTAGATTACATTAGGTTGATGCTTTGGGAGGGTGGACCACAGTGCTCTGGGCCATCGGAGAGCACAGTCTGAAGCCCCCAAAGGCCTCCCTGCGCCGCCCAAAGACCTCCAGAGCACCCTTCCGGCCAGGAGCACCACCAGACCTCGTGTAGTGTGGGTAAAGTGTGGTAGAGAGGGAACCCCAGGCCAGCCCACCAGATTTACTCAGCTCGCAGGGATCAGAACCCCTCTGTGCCGGTCTGGGGAGCTTGCCTCACCCCCATGCCCATCCTCACCCTCAGATACAGCAGCACGCTTTCTTCTTCATCCCAGCCCCCTGCTGTCTCCGCCCCGGCCCAGGCCCCTCCTCTCAGCCGGCTGCACAAAGCAAGCTGTAAAACAAATCTGACCCCCTCTCGGCCCTGCCTAAGCCCACAGTGGCATCCGTCACACTGAGAATAAAACCCAAATGCCCAGCATGGCCTGGGCCTGCCCCTTCTCCAGCCCCATCTCCCACCTGTCTCTCTCTTGCTCACTCCACGCAGCCACGCTGACCTCCGAACTGCCCTTCTGAGGCACCCAGCCCATTCCCACCCCGGGGCGTCACACAGTCAGATCCGCCTGCCGGGAACACCCTTCCCACAGAACCCAGCGTGGCGGGCTCCTTCCCATCCCCTCGTGACCACCTCTGTATAGGATCCGCTCCAGCACCCCCACCACCGCTCTCTCTCTGTCCCAGCTTGTCTTCTCCATCCACTGATGAGCCCTGAAATTGCCTTTTTTATTTCTCTGCTACTGGCTCGTGGTCCATCTCCTGCCCAAGGAGCTCCATGCTGTCCTGGCAGGGGCTCGGCCACACAGCTCACGGCTGACTCCCAGCACCTAGCTCAGTGCCTGGCACCCAGTAGGTACTCAAACCTTGGTGGGATGAGTGAAAGAACAAAGGGAAACAAGTAAAAGGACCAGAAAGTAGAAAGGCTTTTGCTTTTAACTTGGGGCACCAGGGCTTCCAAGTACCTTTCTCTTTCCATTTCTCTCTGGGGGGAGGCGGGGCCCCCTGCGTACAGGATACACGAGGCGATGCAGAGTGGAAATAGCATCAGAGTCACGAGGGCCTCATTAAAGGCTCCCCTGACACCTGTTTCCAGTGACTCATGCCTGAAAAGTAAGTTCTCCGACTAATTGGCTCTCCGCTCCCCAGCCCGGTGGGTGTCAGAGCCGTCATGATAATAATACCTTAGATTTATGGAATGCCCTTTTCTCCCCTTCCGAGTGGCTAAGAGAGACAAGAGGCAATTGAAAATGATAAACGGACAGAAATGTGACACACAAAGAAGTTTCTAATGGAGCCTTTAAAACTCAAGGAAGTGGAAGGCAAATACCCTTTGGGGTGGAGGAGGGAGCCCCGAACAGGGCTGTGCTGGGAGGGGAGCCCCGCCCCACCACACTGAAGGCAGAGAAGGAGCTGGGGTCACTGAGGGTCCAAGTTTATGGCGTCTTGTCCAGATTCTGGTCACCACTTGTTGCCAAGGTGGGGGCCCAGATGTGGGCACCTCTCAAGAGCTCCCTTGAGAAGGGAGGGTATAGCTGAGTGGTAGAGCGCATGCTTAGCATGCACGAGGTCCGTCTTCAACTTGACCATTGTGGCATTTCCACTGTTTTTTAAGCAATATGAAGTCTGATGCAGAAGCCCAGCTATACATCGGATCACATCAAGGCCGTTCTGATTGAAGTGTGAGGGCACCATTCCTCCCCCTGCACCCGTGGGGCCTCCCCGTTGACCCTGCTACAGGCAGCTGACTCCTCATAGCCCGGGATGGTGAGTGAAAAGCATTGCTCTAGGGGAAACAGCAAAGCAGACCTTTCCCAAGTTTGTTTTATTTTTTAGGGCACGTGGTCGTCCCCCGTCTCCGGTGATCTCAGCGCTTCCCTAAGACTTACACTGGGGGTTTGGGAAGTCCAGAGGGCGCAGTGGAGTGCAGGCACTGAAGAGAGTCAGGGAAGGGCTTTCTGAGGAGGTGACATTTAAATGGGGGCCTGGAGGAGGGGGAGGGGGCCCTCCAAGCAGAGGGGACAGCCAGTGCGAAGCCCAGAGCAGGGAAGACCCAGATGTTCCTCAAACTGTGGAGGGAGCCTGTGGGCTCAGAAGCGTGTCCCCTTGAGGAGCATCCTTCCGCCCAGGGAGAAAACTGAGGTCTGCAAAGTAGACACTCTTTGAGCAAACATTTCCAGAGACCTTGCTCTGAACCAGGCCCTCTCAGAGCAGCTGGGGGCACAACAAACAAAGGAAACAACAGAACTGGACTCAGTCCCTGCCCCAGAGGTACTGATTACTTAATGGAGAAATAGACGTGCGACTAAATATTTCTGCCCACGTGGGATGATGGGGGTGCAGGCCCAGGGGGCCGTCGGAGAATCGAGGAAGACATCAGCAAAAGAAAACAAAATGTTCACTCTGATCTGCGTTTGCTAAAATGGCTTCATATATGTGTTCCTCCAGAAAAAATAAATAGTCTTCCTCGTAGCACCAGTTTGCCTAACTCTCCCTCTCTTTCTCAAACTGCTCTCCACCCAGTCCTGCTAGCTTATATCGAGGCTCTGACCACTTAACCTCCTCCAGTGGTCCAGCCCTCATCCTCTCCAATGTGGACTGTTGCTGGAGCCTCCTCCTTGGCTTCCCTGCTCTCCTGCCTCCCCTCCCATCTGTCCTCGGCACAGCAGCAGAGGGACCATCTTGGAACACAAGTCAGATCACATTCATCCTCAGCTCAGAGTGCCCCTCCCCCAACCTGGTGATGTTCCATCCCCCTCGGTCAAAGCCAGAGTCTCTCCTGGCCCCGTCTCCCTGACCTGGTCTCCTTGTCTCCTCTTCATCTCTCCTTTCAGCTAGGCCAACCTCTGTATTCAATGAACAGACCAAATACAGTCCCACCACAGGGCCTTTGCACTTGATGTTTCCTCTGCCCGGAAGACTCTTCCCTAAGATACATCCACTTGCTCCCTCTCTTCATTAGCATCAGGGTCTTTATGCTAATTAGGTAAAGACCCTTCATTAGGGTCTTTACCCAAATGTCATGTAAACAGAGAGGCCAAATCTGCCCTACTCCCCGCAGCCTGCATACGGACCACACTCCCAGCGTGCCCCCAGTATGTTAACCATGGCTTTTGTTTTCTGTGTTCTGATGCTTTGATATCTGGGGCCTGCAGACCTTGGAGGGACTGTCCCTCCCAGGGAGGGCCAGTTCCTAGGGATGGTAAACAACTCACCCACAAGCATGCTTTTCAAATACAAGCCAACCCATGCAGACCCCACACCCTCCACACCCACCATCTTCTACCTCCTTCTTCAGACTCTCACACACCAGGCCCCTGTCCACCTGCCCTAATCACCCCAGGGCATGTCAGATAACCAGGGACAGCCCAGTGCCCCAGAGCCCCCTGAAATTTTTCAAACTAGCCAATCCTAAGCCTGCTTAGCCTGCCTTACCCACTCCTCCCTCGAAAACCACAATAAAGGCTCTTGCTCACAGTCCCCTGTCCCTGACCCACCCTGGTTCTTCCCCACGTGCCCCCTCCTCATGGGAGCTGTGAGTATAACAAACTGTCTTTCCAGGAGCAGTTGTCTCCTGATCTGTTGGCCTCGCCACACCTGCATAATAATAAATTCTGTATTTTAGGAGCCCCAGCCCCTTAACGTGCTTCATCCTTCTCTCAGACCCTTATGATCACCTGACACATTATGTATTTAATGCTCATGGGCTTCCTCTCTCCGCTAGATGGTCAGCTCCATGAGGGCAGGGACCTGCACAGCTGCGTCTCCAGCTACAACAGCACCTGGCACATAGAGGTGCTCAGTTAATATTTGCCAAATCAACAGATCTGTGAATCCCTTACTTCTATACAGAGTCCTACAAAACACATACACACACCAGCCCTGTTTGTTCGTAAGGCAGTGGCATGACTCTCGTTAAAATCCATTCCTATATACTGACACCACAATTATGGCAGGTAAATAACCCGCCCCTCCCCCCGCCCTGGTCACTTGATGACTTCTGCTTAGAAACCACCTCTGCCATGTGAGTTCAGGCTTCCAACCATGTATTTGGTTTTCATTTTGGCTGGAATCATTTCTAATGTTTAAATACAAAAAAGTGAGCACTGACTTTTTAACATCTTTTTTTTTATTGAAGTATAGTCAGTTTACAATGTTGTATTAATTTCTGGTGTACAGCATAGTGAATCAGTTATATATATATGTATATTCCTTTTCGTATTCTTTTTCATTAAGGCTATTATAAGATGTAGAATATAGTGCCCTGTGCTACACAGTAGGACCTTATTGTTTAACATGTATTTCTTAATTAAATGTATGAAAAGGTACTGTGGGACTTTGTTTGAAAACGTGAAAGAGCCCGAAATATTTCTTTCACTTCATTTTCTGAAAAGAACATGCCACTTACTCAAATGACCTGTAAAAGGCCAAAGAAATAAATTTGTTGTAGTAAGTGTAAAGCCACCAACTGGCCTTGCCTTTAAAAATAGTCAGGGAAAGGAGGAGCTAAAAGAACCTCATCCCAGGTCTGGGGTACTTGGTACCCCTTGGCGTTCTACCTCGTTCATTATTACATATACACAGGGCCCAGAAAAGAAGGCCTGAGAATCATTCCGTAAATGACAAGTCCATTTAATAACAACAAGCCGACGGAGGTGGGTACCTGACCCCATTTAGCGAAATCGTTGCTAAGTAGACAGAAGCCTTTCTCCCTAAAGATGATTAAATGGGAAATGCCTCACTTTAAAATCTCAGGGGCCTTTTGAAGCAGGCATAAAAATTACTCAGCAGTGAGAGTCAGCCAAGGTTTCCGGGGACAGCTGAGGGGGAAGGGAGAGGACCTGGCAGGAGCCAAGCAACCCCTTCATT